TTTCAGATCAGGTACAAAATCTCAATCTCATTAAATCTCCCCAGGCTCCTTTCTGCCTCGTCAAGGCCTGGCCCCTTTCCAAATGGGCTAATCCTCGGTTGGTTCCTGTCCCGCTGCGCTGCAGCCAGCCCCTGCGCCCCACCCCAGAGGGGCCGCATCCTAGCTCCGGGCGAGGGGTCCCCGTGCACCCAGCCCCCGTGCCCCACCCCACAGGGGCCGGGTCCCACTGCTGGTTGGGGGGTCCCCGGATACCCAGCCCCTGTGCCCCACCCCAGAGAGGTCCCCAGATACCCAGCCCCCGCGCCCCACCCCAGAGGCATCAATGGTGCGACAGTGTGAGGTAGGCAAAATGCACTAGTGAGCAGCTGTTATGATCAGGAACAATGCGGCTCCAGCCATGACCAGCAGTGGCATAAATAGAGAGCAGCCATTGTGCCAACACAATAGCGTGTCACTAGTGTTAGCGCAATGCACTAGTGAGCAGCAAGCATGCAAACGCTAGTGATCAGTGAGCATGCGATGCACTGTTGTGCAGCGAGCATGCAAACCCAATAGGAGCAGTGAGCATTCAATGCACAAGTGAGCAGCAACCATCCAGTGCACTAGTGAACAATGTGTATGCAAACACAATAGTGAGCAGCCAGCATGTGATGCCCTTTTGAGCAGTGAACCTGGAAACATACAATCAAGTTGCACGTATACAAACACAATAGTGTGCAACATGTGTTTAGTGTACTAGTGAGCACTGAGCATGCAAACACAATGGTGACCCTCGAGAGTGCAAATACTATAGTGAGCAGTGAGTGTGCAATGCACTAATGTGCAGTGAGTATTTGAATGCACCAGCAAGCACACAAATACACTAGCACTCCCTGAGCTTGCACACACTGTAGTGAGCTGCAAATGTGCAAAAACCGTGAGCAGCGAGCGTGCAGTCACAAACAGCAAGCGTGCAAGACTCTACTGAGCAGCAACCATGCAAACACAACAGTGTGCCTTGCACCAGTGAGCATGCAAATGCAATCGGAAGCAGCGAGCATGCAATGCACTAGTGAGAAGCAAAGACAACAGTGAGCAGTGAATGTACAATGCACTAGTGAGCAGCGAGCGGGCAAACACAAGAGTGACCAACAAGCGTGCGACACACTAGCATGCAGGGAGCGTGCCATGCCCCGGCGAGCGTGCAGTCCTGGTGTATGTTGCCGACAAGCAGCCACCCCGCTGCATGTGAGTCACGTAGGTGCGATTGCACGAGCGCTCCACCCCTGCCCTGACCCTCCCCTCCCCCCGCAGGGTGTTTGGCTTTGCCATTGTGGCCACCTCGACTCTGAACATGCTGATCCCGTCGGCTGCTCGGGTTCACTACGGCTGCGTCATCTTCGTCCGCATCCTGCAGGGGCTGGTGGAGGTGAGTGCCCCTGGGGGCGGGGACCGAGGAGGAGGGGGTGGGGCTTGCCTTCCTGGTCACGCCCCCATCCCCATGGGGGAAGCTTGGGAGGGAAGGGTTAGGGGGTGGGGCTTGATATGTTGGCCACACCCCTTCCCCCACATGGAGGTGGTGGGGTAAGAGGGCGGAGCTTGCTTTTCTGGCCACGCCCCTTCCTAGTCTGGGTGGGAGAGGGCAACCTGTTGAAGGGGGTGGAGCTGCTGGTAGGGGGCGGGTCTCCCTCTAGACACGCCTTCTTTGCCTATTGGGAGGTGGGTCTGAAAGTGCAACACGGTATGGGGTGTGGCCTGATGTGCTAGCCACGCCCCCTTCCTAGTGGAGGGGGCTTGTCAGTGCAGCGGGGGAAGGGTGCCGGTGAAGGGGCGGAGCCTGGTAGCCTGGCCACGGCCCCCGAGCCCTAACATCTGTCTGTCCATCTGTCCCAGGGGGTGACGTACCCAGCCTGCCACGGAATCTGGAGCAAGTGGGCCCCCCCTCTGGAGCGCAGCCGCCTGGCCACCACGGCCTTCTGTGGTAAGGGAACCTCCCCTGCCGAGCCTGGACTCCTGGGTTCTCCCCCGGTTCAGGGGAGGGGAGCGGTGTCTAGTGGTTAGAGCAAGTGGAGCTGGGAGCCAGGACTCCTGGGTTCTCCCCACAGTTCGGGGGGGGAGTGGAGTTTGTTCAGTTCACACTGCGGGGCTTTGGCTAACGTGGGCCACAACCTCCTGCAGGCTCCTACGCGGGCGCAGTGGTGGCCATGCCGCTGGCCGGGGTCCTGGTCCAGTACTCGGGGTGGAGTTCGGTCTTCTACGTCTATGGTAAGGTCAGACCCACGGGCCCATCTACCCTGGCGTCCAGCCTCCCCCCACCCGCCCACGGGCCCATCTACCCCGGCATCCAGCCTCCCCCCACCCGCCCACGGGCCCATCTACCCCGGCGTCCAGCCTCCCCCCTCACACCCATGGGCCCTCCTGCCCAGTATCCCCACACAAAGGCGGGGGGGGGCTCTCCCAGCTGGCTGTGCCCCCGCCCCCGCAGTGACTCCCCCCCCCTCCCATCGACAGGCAGCTTTGGGATCTTCTGGTACATGTTCTGGTTGCTGGTTTCCTATGAGAGCCCAGCTCAGCACCCCACCATCACGGAGGAGGAGCGCCGGTACATCGAGGAGAGCATCGGGGAGAGCGCCAGCCTCATGAACCCCCTGGTGGTGAGACCCCACGGCAAGCAGGCTGGGGGCACTGCTGTGGGGAAGCTTGCAGCGCCGGGATGCCATAGGCTGGGGGCACTGCTGTGGGGAAGCTCACAGCGCCGGGATGCCCTGGGCTGGGGGCACTGCTGTGGGGAAGCTCGCAGCACCGGGACACCCTAGGCTGGGGGCACTGCTGTGGGGAAGCTCACAGCGCCGGGATGCCCTGGGCTGGGGGCACTGCTGTGGGGAAGCTCGCAGCACCGGGACACCCT